CGAGACCGCACCACTCTCACGCCGCTCAGTCGGCCGGTTGCAGTCTCCCTGGCAGACCCCTCTAGAAATCCTGTTCTTGCCCACTACTCCACTGTCCTACCGTGTCCAGCGGTCCCGTCTGGCTCCCTGTCGGGTCTTTACCTCCCCTCGTTCTCTACGAACTTGGTGGCGGGTGCTGACCTACAGGATGGGGGGGTTGACCAGTTCACCCCTGCGCGTCAGCGGGTGACCCACTGCACGTGTGCGGACACGGGCCGACACTTGGCCACGTTTACCCGTCGGCCGGGGTCGAGCCTGTACACCCTGACTACCGAGTCTCCTCCGGTTGCTGTGCCTGGTCAGGTAGCTGCGTCGGGTCAGGTGTTTGCTGCGGCGTCTCGGTCTGGTCCTGAGTCTGCCCCCTGCTCGTGTCGCCTCCTGTCCCACGAGACTCTTCTCTGGCACCACCGTCTTGGTCACCCCTCCCTGCCTCGTCTCCGAGGCATGGCCTCTCGTGTCCTGGTCTCTGGTCTCCCCCGGTCGCTCCCTCCCCTCCCTCCGGGGCCTGCCCCTACCTGCGTCCCCTGCGTCGAGGGGCGGCAGCGCGCCGCTCCTCACTCCTCCGAGTTTCCGCCGACAGAGGCTCCGCTGCAGACTCTTCACATGGACGTGTGGGGCCCAGCCCGCGTCCGTGGACAGGGTCACGAGCGCTACTTCCTGCTGGTGGTTGACGACTACTCGCGTTACACCACAGTCTTCCCCTTGTGCCGCAAGGATGAGGTTACTGAGGTGTTGATCGACTGGATCCGCGCGGCTCGTCTCCAGCTCAGGAAGAGTTTCGGCTCGGACTTTCCTGTTCTGCGTCTGCACTCTGACAGAGGTGGAGAGTTTTCCTCCGGCCCTCTGCGAGCCTTCTGTCGTGCGAGGGGCATCCGCCAGACGTTCACGCTTCCGGCCTCTCCGCAGCAAAATGGGATTGCTGAGCGCCGCATTGGCATGGTCATGGATGTCGCTCGCACGTCCATGATCCATGCGGCTGCTCCCCATTTTCTGTGGCCGTTTGCGGTTCAGTACGCGGCGCGTCAGATCAACCTTCAGCCCCGGGTCTCCATGCCGGACACCTCCCCCACTCTGAGGTGGACGGGGCAGGTTGGCGATGCGTCTGCGTTTCGTGTCTGGGGATCTCGGGCTTTTGTCCGAGACTTGTCTACGGACAAGCTGTCCTCCCGTGCTGTTCCCTGCGTCTTCCTTGGCTTCCCCCCTGACGCGCCTGGTTGGCAGTTTTACCACCCCACCTCGCGCCGTGTTCTGTCCTCCCAGGACGTCACGTTTGACGAGTCGGTTCCGTACTACCGTCTCTTCCCCTACCGCGCTGCCCCTCTTCCCCCCCCGCCGCTCTTCCTTACGCCAGGTCCCCCCCCGGTAGACCCCCTCCCCCCTCAGGGTCCTGCTCCTTCAGGTGTGTCTCAGGTAGACCCCCCCCCCTTGGCTGAGCCTTTGGAGGTCACTTCCGACACCTCTGGCCCACCTGAGGGGGGTGACGCTGTTGCTGACGCCCCGGCGGCCTACCGCCGCGCACCACGCTTGGAGACCCCTCCGGGGTTCCCTCCGCGACCTTCTTCGCCGCCTCTGCAGCCGGTTACTGTTGACTCTGGTGCTGTTGAGGGTGGAGCTCCTGGAGGTGCTGCGTCTGGGGGTGCGGAGTCTGGGGGTGCTGAGACTGGGGGTGCTGAGCCTGCGCGTGAGGAGACTGGAGGTCCTGCGCCTGGGGGTGCTGTGTCTGGGGGTACTGAGCCTGTGTGTGCGGAGTCTAGGGGGGCTGAGGCTGGAGGTGAGACGCTTGAGGGTACTGGGACTGCTGGTGCGCGGCCTACTTGGAGTGGCCGCCTTCGTCCGCGTGTGCCTCTCACCCCTCAGCAGCTGCACGACTGGTACGGTCGCCGTCAGCGTCGCACTGCTGGAGCCCGGGGCTCTGCTGCTGGAGGTACTGGAGCTGCTGGGGCTGGGGGTGCTGCGTCTGGGGGTGCCGCTGCTGGAGCCACTGAGGCTGGCGACCCTGGGACTGGAGGTGCTAGTTCTGGGGGTGCTGCTGCGGGAGACGCTGCGGTTGGAGACCCTGGGACTGGAGGTGCTGGTTCTGGGGGTGCTGCTGCGGGAGACAGTGCGGTTGGAGACCCTGGGACCGGAGGTGCTGGTTCTGGGGGTGCTGCTACGGGAGACACTGCGGTTGGAGACCCTGGGACTGCAGGTGCCGGTTCTGGGGGTGCTGCTGCTGGTGACGCTGGTTCTGGAGCTGCTGGCGCTGGAGGTACCGGTTCTGAGGCTGGAGCTTCTGGAGCTGCTGGAGCTGCTGGAGGCGCTGGAGCTGCTGGAGGTGCTGGAGCTGCTGGTACTGGTGCAGCTGCGCCGACACGACTGTTCTTCGCTCCGCCGTCTCCGTCGTCCCTGCCGCCGCCTGACTCTGCTCTTCGTCAGGTTGTTACTCTCCCGTCGTCTACTGGTCTTCCGTTACAGACTGGCTCACCGCTACCTGCTCCCTCTCCTTACACTGAGCAGACAGGCAGTCCTGCTGAGCGTCGTGAGCCTGCGTCACGTCCTGTCTCGCCTGTTCGTTCTGGTCGTACCAGTCGTCGTGTTGCTCGTCCGCGTCAGCCGGCTGTCCCCAGCGCACACCTTGTTGTCCGTCGTCCTTCCTCTGCTCCGCAGCCTGTTCCTCTGCCGTCTCCCCCTGCGTCCTCTCTGCCTGCCGTTCCGGACCCTGAGTCTGACCGGTTTCGTACTGAGCACCCTACTGTCACGCGTCTCCTAGCCACTGTTGTCACTGACCCGTCGTTTGAGTCTACTGCTGCGTCTGCTTTGGTCGCTGAGCTTGTTGACTTTGCTGCTGCCTGTCGTCTAGACTACGCCGCTAGTCTTGTTGCTGAGTCTGAGTCTGTCTGTCCTCCGTCCGTCGGGGGTGAGTGTGCTCTTAGCACGGACGTCCTTGAGGACAGGCAGGAGGAGTTCCAGTGTCTTGCTGCTGCTTTACCTCATCTTGTGTCCTCGCTACTTGCCCCTGAGGGAGACCCGGATGTACCAGACATCCCGACTCCGCGCTCTTACGCAGAGGCGATAGAGGGTCCCTACTCCTCTCAGTGGCAGGCAGCCATGGACGCAGAGATGGCTTCCTGGAAGTCCACAGGCACCTACGTTGACGAGGTTCCCCCTCCTGGGGCGAACATCGTCAGTGGCATGTGGATTTTCAGGGTGAAGCGGCCACCGGGTTCTCCTCCTGTCTTCAAGGCGCGTTACGTGGCTCGCGGCTTCAGTCAGCGGCAGGGAGTTGACTACTTTCAGACCTTCTCCCCCACCCCGAAGATGACCACTCTTCGGGTGCTGTTGCACATAGCCGCTCACCGTGACTACGAGCTTCACTCTCTTGACTTCAGCACAGCTTTCCTGCAGGGCAGCCTGCACGAGGAGATCTGGCTGCGCCGCCCACCTGGCTTCACTGGGACGTTTCCTCCTGGCACCCAGTGGAGCCTCCGGCGGCCGGTCTACGGTCTCCGCCAGGCGCCGCGTGAGTGGCACGACACACTGAGGACTACGCTTGCGGCTCTTGGGTTTGCTCCTTCTACTGCCGACCCGTCGCTGTTTCTGCGCACCGACACCTCTTTGCCGCCGTTCTACATCCTCGTGTATGTCGACGACTTGGTCTTTGCTACAGCTGACACTGCTGGACTCGCCCACGTGAAGTCCGAGCTGCAGAAGCGACACACGTGCACAGACCTGGGTGAACTGCGCAGCTACCTTGGCTTGCAGATCACCCGGGACAGAGCACGGCGCACCATTACACTGTCTCAGTCACACATGGTGCAGCAGGTCCTTCAGCGCTTCGACTTCACGTACTCCTCGCCTCAGGCCACTCCTCTGCCTACTCGCCACTCGCTCTCAGCTCTGCCTTCGGATGAGTCCGTAGAGCTGAGTGGCCCGTACCCAGAGCTTGTTGGCTGCCTCATGTACCTGATGACCTGCACACGACCTGACCTTGCATACCCTCTTAGCATCCTGGCACGCTATATTGCTCTTGGGAGACACCGACCAGAGCACATGGCTGCAGCGAAGAGGGTGTTGCGCTACTTGTGCAGTACGTCGGGCATGGGGCTAGTGCTTGGAGGGCAGAGTCCAGTGGTCCTCACTGGTCACTAGAGGTTATAGGGTTGTTTCTTGTACCTCTCGCTTCTCCCTAGTGCAACAATTCTCTCGAACTTCACAATTTGAGCAGGGTAGTTTTGGGCCAACCCTGTTTTAGTTAAGGTTTAGTGAGGTACAATTCCACTAAGATCCGCAATAAAGTAATACACACAAAGTCCATTAACTCTTCAAAAGTCTCACATGAACTACACACCTACTCATTGCCACCACCACTGCCTACATCTTCTACAAACTGAGTCTGTGAAGCTCTGGTGGGGTCGAACTCCCTGGTGGATCGCCTCAGCTTCTCTCCACGAAAGATGGCGACCACCTCAAACCAGTCGACATCGTAGCGCAGCAGGGAGCAACGCATGAGATGCTCCAGGCTTGTGTCGCCCAGGCTGCCACGGCCCCACGTCTTGATCAGATTCTGCTTCGAGAAGCCACGCTCGCATTCGACCGTGCTCAATGGCAGCACGGCCACTGACTGCCACATCCGCATGATGTTGGGGAAGGAGACACGCCATGCATCATCCCGCAGCATGTTCGTCAGCGCCTGGTGGAATTCCTCGTTGTTGTGCTGGGCGAACATTGTGGATGTAAACATCCACAGCTCCTGCTGGGCTCTCTTGTAGTCGAACCCTGTGGTGGGGCGGATTGCGGGTGAAAGCTAAGCCGATGCTCGGAGACACGGGTAGGGGTGGGGGGCATTAGTCCAACAAGCCACAGTATGCAGGGTGTGCAATGGTGAACCGCAAGGCAGGCATAAGAGCGACAACAAACATGATAACATGTGCAAGCGCAACGGCAGGCTTACCAGGCAGCCTGTGGTGGTACAGCTTGTGCAGCTAAACGAGCCACTTCTTGAAGGTTTCCAGCCGCTTCGTGTCGTCGGACACGTACGAGGCTGTGCGGAAAAGCTCCAGGTCTCCCATCCGCCACTCCAGCTCCTTGTCAATGGCGCGCACGTACTTGATCGCCAACTCGACGCACGCCGTTACATCGCCTCCCGTCTCGTGTCCAGCCAGCGGGCGCTCGTGCAGCGTGAACTCAAACGTCACGGGATTCCCGTCCCCGTCTACGCCCTCCGCCTTCATCTCGCGCTTGTCCGTTTTCCCGTGACTCTGGATGAACTCGGGGAAGCTGCATCTTCTCCCCGCTGCCGAAATGTTGTGTAGGGTCGCGGAGGGAATACCGCGTCTTCAGACGCAGCCTTGTCTGCTGCACGATGTGCGCAACAAGGGTGATGTCCACCTGCACAGTGGGAATTCAACCAGACCGTTAGTATTCAAGCTTGCAGCCGACACCACAAGCCACCAACAAAGACACGTACCTGGCGCTGCTGGAATCGGAGGTTCAGGCTGTTCAATTCCCACAGCACATCCGCTAGAAAGCGGATGAGAAAGTGGAACTTGAACGAGGTTACCACCTCGTAGAGCTTCGCCTTGTAGTCCTTCAACACCACTATGGCTGCAGGTAGCACGTCGAGCAGGCGCTGTATCGCTTCACCGCGGGCGAGCCAGCGTGTGTCGCTAATCCCCTGCTCCTCGAGATTCGTCTGGCAGAAAACCCGCTGCATCTCCTGGAACTTCGCGTAGTCCACGCTGCTGCGGCCGATGTGGTCAGCGAAGGCGCGCACGACATCATCTATCATCAGCAGGTCAGGTACCTCTTCAGCAGCATCACTGGCAGCGAGTGCCTCCGTGAACACAATCTCACAACAACTGAAGGTTAGTGAACCAGCATAAGTGGTATACCAGCAGCACAGAACACACACCGATGACGCTTACCTATGAGCAATACAATGGGTGGAGGCCAGATGCGGGATGCGCATACGAAGGCGTGTCACCACTCCCCGGTTCTTGCCGACCATCACGCTGGCACCATCGGAGGCGACGCTGGATATCTTCATGAGGTCGACCCCGATACCTGTCAGGTACTGCACGACAGCAGATGTGAGTGAGGCACTGTCACAACGTTCAAGAGTGATCAGAGTCAGGAACTCCGTGACCACCGTGGTGTGCTGGAAGAACGTGGCGTAGAGAATGAGATGTTTCCCGTTCACACGATCCGTGCTCTCGTCGAGCTGAATCCCTATCCACGGGGAGTCGAGCAGGTGATGGCGCTGTGTCTCTTGGAGGTATGTTGACAGGGCGCGCAGGTTCTCTTTGAAGCCGTAACTGCCAAGGGACAAGCGTGGTGGTCAGATCACCGTGTATGAACATAAAAACACGTCTGGTATTACCAAAGCAGCAAACCACTTACTCAGTGTAGTACGCGCCGTAGCCGCCAGCGAGCGGAAGGTCTGGTAACCCCTCCTTCGCCAGAAACCAACACAGCGGGACGAACATCGCTATGGGTGAGCGTCGGCCTTACATACAAAATGCGCGATGTGGAGGAACCGAATGATGTGACGAGTGGATGCGTCCGTGGCCTGCCAGCGAGTGATAGAAGCCTGCTTCGCCTTCTCCGCCTCCGCCTTCTCTTGGCTCTCCAACGCCTGCTTGTGTGCACGGGATGAGGTGTGAGTGCGGATGCTGCCAATCTGGAGATCCCGCGCTCCCTCACCCCTCGGCCCGTAAGCGGTGTGCGCTAGGGGGTCTCCCTGCTTCACACAAATAGCACACTTCAGAGACAGACGGCCGTTAGACATGCGCAGTAAACGCAACCACTTGAAGCTACCTGCCCACTGACCCTCAAAGGTCTTCTTGACCGACTCATACTCAGCATCCGCCAGAGCGGTGGGTGGCTTCGGATCGGCAGAAGGAGCAGAGCGCTTGTGGGGAGTAGCGTTTCGGGGAGGAGGGGCGCCCCAGAGCGTCTGCTGCTTGTACGTTGTTCCCACACGCGGTCGCTCCACGGGCGCGGTGCTGACAGTAGACGGCGAAGCAGTGGGCGGCTTTGACGAGCCCTCGCCGCCGCCGGAAACTAATTCAATGTCTGGATGTGGCTCCCACGCCGTGGGCGAGTCAGGAGGCTCGAAAGGATAAACCGTTCCTACCACTACTTCTGGTGACGGCTCGCGAGGCGGCGGCTGAGCGATGGGCACGGCGTAGTTCTTGCTAAGGCGTGGTAGAACGCCCAGCACAGAGAGTCCGTTCCTCGCGCCATCTGGTGGATCGGGCTCTTCAGTGGGCATTTTGGAGCTAGAAATTTGAAACTTGTTGAGAATGAAGGCCAAGCGACAGACCCCCTCGTAGAGAACGAGCCTCTCTCGGGGGCCGTTCATTGCATGCGGCAGGGAGAGCATGGCCAGGAAGGCAGGACTGCCGCTGCAATTTGCAGTCAAGGACAGCTTGAAGCTTTCCTTGACACCGAATTCTGCTGTGGTGGCGGTGGGCGTGGCTGTGGGTGGCAAGATTCATAAATGACCTGGCAGTCCTACGGTAGTAACGACACATGGGGCAACATGGCGCGTTTCTGACAGCGAAGCAAGTTTCGCTACGCGTGTACACAAGCGACAACAGATGTTTGTGGGGGTGTTGTTCATTTCGTCACCACGCGGACTGTGGTCAGATTCGCGCTAAGGAAAACTCGGTAAAAGGGTAATGTACACCCAACCCTGATTCTGTCAGGCTAACTATAAAACCTATAGGGGTAAAAAAAACTTGCTGTTTTGAGAGAAGGGTAACTATCGGGCATTCCCGATTTCGGCAGGGTAATCCTGAAAAACGGCCGGCCCCCAGGGTAATCAGGGCGTTTTACCCTGATATTTTGGGCCCTGGGCCCAATGCAATCATTGTTTTCTTGTTATATTGCACATATATACTTGGTATTCAGAGCCTTTTAACCACACTTCATCAACTACCAGAACTACCTCGATGAATGTGTACCCTGTACAAGCATGGTTGCGGCATTGTTCAACAATAGCCGGCGCGCACAGCTGGTTCAAGGGATCAGCGATGGCCCCAAGAATCACGGAATGGGTTGTGTGTGGAGGAGTGGAGCTGGCCTCACGCAAGGGTAGCTTTCGTGTGAATGGACCTCGTTTTGGCAACTGGAATGGATGGTTCTGCTCCCTACTGTATCAAGTCTGTGGATGGCTAGACGCGCTCATCCTCATCGATATTGGGTTGCCTGTCATTTTCTGAAAGTGTCATGGACAGCACGGCAATTATCATCAAGCGAAAGCTCCGGGAAATGAGAAGAAATTGGTTTTAGCAACGTGAAAAGCTGGAGGAACGCCGAGTCAGCTAAGTTCAGCTTGGGACAAAAGTCACAAAACAGTTCATTTTGGCAAGTCGTAAAGCCACCAGTACAAGATGCCCCGAAAATCGGCGTGAAGTCCTCCTCACCCCCCCCCCGACAACCCTACGTTCTCCCAAACCACACTTTCCTCTTCCTCAGCCAAAGTGGGGAGGTGAGGAAGGGGGCAGTCTCTCTTCATTCCCGCCAGTCTCTCCACTCCAACCATTCCCCACCACCACCCACCACCCCACCATCGCCCCCAACACCATTCCCCCACCAAGCCCCAATCAGGCTGGAACTTGTGTGAGGTCATCATCAGAAACATGTCTGGCCAAGTTCCACGGTAGTTCAAGAACTTATGTGAAGGCCGTCGAATAACCCCTGCGGGTGCAATTCAACCACAGTTTTACCATCTGGACCTCGGTCCCTGAAACTGCACTTAAAATGTGACAAGGATCAAGGAATGGGGTGACTGAAGCTTCTTAGCTCGTCTCACCACCTTATTTAGACTCAATAATACTGCACCGTCGAAATCGAAGACGTATCAGAAGTTGATTTACCCAGGAGAGGCCTGCATTTCTGTACAGAACAGCACAGCATCGATAGATACCCGTATTCATTTGACCCTTTCCGCCATTAGAGACTTTTTCAACACATGTCACGTCAGACTCCTTTGTGTCGTCAGCCGCGTGCTGCTTGTGCCTAGCTGGCCGCGTCGTCACTCCCGACGGCCATTCACACGTACCATACCCTCCTAGGGCCCCCCACTCATTCCCGCCAGTCAGTCTCTCCTCCACTCCAACCATTCCTTCCTGGCCTTTCCCAGTCTCGACCCGTCTCAGGAAAATCCGTCAGGAATCAGGATGGCAACGAGGAGGCAGCCATCCCGGGGCCATAAAGTCTGTCGGAGTTCATTCAAACCAGCACTAGTTCACAAGGTCAAGTATCTTCTTAGCTAACTTCCTTCGCGTTTCGAGCTCTTCAGTAAGCGTAATTCCCCAGCCTTCCTCTTGAAACAATTCCGCTTCCGCTTTCAAAAGCTTCACTATGTGTCAGGGTCTGGGACCTTGCACCGTTGCTTCAACTGAGTGGATGGCGCAGCGGAGCCGCACCACGGCCAATCCGGGGCGTCAACAATTCACGCGCCCGACGTGTATTGTTGTGGAAACCGCGGAAGAGCCCCCAATAAGCGCCGCATATTGCGAAGACGCCGCTGCTACCATTGTAACTCCTCCGTCACCGGCAGCCGCGTCGACCGGCGCCGGAAACTGCGCACGCTCTCCGACTCTTGGGGGGGCTCAGGTTGCTCGGAGCCCGAGAGGGGGCGCCTCGTCGTGGCGGCCCGGAACCGTTCCAGTCACCGTTCGCAGCCCCAACGCGGCAGTCGTGCGACGTCGCGCGTTTTCGTCGCTGGACATGGACCTGGAATGGGGAACGCCGCCGCCCGGCGACGGCTCCGAATCGTCGGGCTTGGAGCGATCGTCTCAGGCAGACACGCGTGACATGCGACGTGGACGATCACTCAACGAAATCGCTGGAAGCTGCTTAGTGTCGTCGCCGGCGACGAAACCCAAACGCACTGCGAAGCGCCGTGTAACTTTCAACCCAGTTGTCCGTGTTCGCACTATCCCTCCACGGGTCGTCACCAATCCCGCCGTCGAAGCAGCCTCCCCAACTATCAATAAACCGTATTCTTTTCAAGTGTACAAGCCGAGTATGCGATTTGCAAAACCTACCAGCTGTAGAGCCGAGCGTGAGTGTGGATTTCCGAGGAATCAGGAGGGGTGTGGGATACTGGCTATGTCAGGCTCATGTTGACATGATCACGCAATAACCCACTGACTAAAGTGGCAATTTCCTGAAAACGTATGTTCATACTGTTAAAAGTTAGGCTTGTTTAAACCGGTCCTTCATTTTCGCGTACGTTGTGCTCAGGGTCGCAATAGCTTGAGTACACTTTCATGTTTCGCATGACTTGTTATTACTTCATTCAGAATAAAAACTACATTCCAAACCAACCTGCGCCCTCATCTAAACACCTGACAGGAAAGGAACGCAAATTTTGTGCCAGAGGCTGAAGCAGCAGAAGACACAGCTGACAGCATTTCAAAATTGAAACTGGAATTCAGAAGCTGAGACATTCTTTGAATCATTTTACAAATGCCACTACCTCCAGGTATACATTTTAACCAGGTATAGGACAGGAAAGTGCATTCTGGAACACTTACAAGGTTCACAATGAAGTGCAAGTCAAAATTGTCAAATATGTCCAACTTCCTTGCACAGTAAAATCAAAAAAGGAACTACACAAATTTACTTGCCCTTCTTCATCTTGTCCAGCTGGTTCAGGGCTGGCCTCAAGATGTTGAACAGCACCCACCCGAGGGCAGGGAGGAGGACAATGAGAAGGGAACCGGCGCGGTTGTCGGAGTCGGCGAGCTCCGCGATTTGCTGAGCGGCCTCCGCGTGGGGAGCGAGGAGCATACCAGCGGCACCAAGGCCAAGAGCGCCAACAACGCTCTTGCCCTGCATCTTCTTCAGCTGGTTCTGAGCGGGCTTGAGGATGTTGAAGAGCACCCAGCCGAGAGCGGGGAGGAGGACGAGGAGAAGAGCTCCGGCGCGGTTGTCCGAGTCAGCGAGCTCCGCGATTTGCTGAGCAGCCTCCGCGTGGGGAGCGAGGAGCATACCAGCGGCACCAAGGCCAACCGCGCCAACAACGCTCTTGCCCTGCATCTTCTTGAGCTGGTTCTGAGCGGGCTTGAGGATGTTGAAGAGCACCCAGCCGAGAGCGGGCAGCAGCACGATCAGGAGGGAGCCGGCGCGGTTGTCCGAGTCAGCGAGCTCCGCGATTTGCTGAGCAGCCTCCGCGTGGGGAGCGAGGAGCATACCAGCGGCACCAAGGCCAAGAGCGCCAACAACGCTCTTGCCCTGCATCTTCTTCAGCTGGTTCTGAGCGGGCTTGAGGATGTTGAAGAGCACCCAGCCGAGAGCGGGGAGGAGGACGAGGAGAAGAGCTCCGGCGCGGTTGTCCGAGTCAGCGAGCTCCGCGATCTGCTGAGCGGCCTCGGCCTGGGGGGCAGCGAGGAGACCAGCGGCACCAAGGCCAAGAGCGGCAGCAATGCCCTTCTTGCCCTTCATCTTGTCAAGCTGGTTCAGGGCGGGCCTGAGGATGTTGAACAGCACCCAGCCGAGAGCAGGGAGGAGGACAATGAGAAGGGAGCCGGCGCGGTTGTCCGAGTCAGCGATCGAGGCGATTTCCTGAACAGCGGCGGCGGAGCCGACGTTGGAAAGGAGGGCGAAGAGGGAACCGGCCATGGAAGCAGCGGCGGTCTTCTGGATGTCGACGTTGGAAAGAATCTCCTCCGCGGACACCTGCTTCTCAATCGGGGAAAGGCTCGCGGTGACATTGCACCGCCTGGCCGCTGCGCACGGGATGGTCCTCAAAGTTACGGTCTTCCTCTGCACGGCAGCGGCGAAGGACCCGGAGGACGGGGCCAGAGCCGCGGTGAAAGAGGAGGCAGCGACAGCGTGCGCCATGGCTAAAGCCTGGTGTGAGGAACTGAGACTCGCGTGCGACTTGGTGAACGCGAGAAGCAGCGGCAGGCTTCAGCCAAGGAGAAAGCTTAGGAACGCTGGTCTGACGAAGCAATGAGATCACAGAATGTGATGTGATGGAGAGGGAGTGGGCTGCGAGGTGGTGAATGCAGGGAGGCTGCTTGGGGAGGCGCGCAAGCGGGATGGAGATGGCGGAGTAGATGGGGTGAATGCGGAGAAGGAGCGGAAATATAGCGCGCGCCAAGTGGGGTGTGTTGGGGCAAAAAAGCACGCTTGGCGCTTCCACGGATGGAGGAGGGGGGAATGCGGGCGGGATTTGGCGGAAGCCTGGCTAGGAAACTCCAAGGTAATCGGATAACGAAGCGGAGAGATGAAGCAGCCAATTGTGAGAAAATGCGAGTTCATCTGACGGACGAGAAGGGTTGACGTGGCAATAAAAATCGGGTTCGCCAATCGAAAGAGATAACGGTAGAAGGCACCTCTCGCGAATTGATGATTTCTGGATCGTCAGGGACACATTTGTCGTCGGAAGGCTGAACTTCTAGATGTTGGTTCGCGAACAAGGCGGGAGTATGCAAAAAGCCACAAATTTGCTCTGTGGCGGAGAGCACTTCGGGTTTCCATCGCACCTAGTCGTTCTTCGGTACACTGTATCCCGTCTTAGCTGTCTCGATGAGTGGGATGTTTGTTTATGAGCGATGATAAAGGGAAGGAAATTTAAGAAAATACATTATTCCAGAGGAATCTTCTATTTATCCTCTTGGTTGTTGGAAAAAAATACTTAGTTTATGAAATTTTCTAGCCGAAGAAGACACGTGAAATTGTTTGGAGGTGTAAAATCATGGTTAGACCAGACACGTTTTAGCAAACACATACTAAGTCACATATTTCTGTTACTTCGAGTATAATACTACACGACTTACTGTATAGAACTGCTCACACAGGATGAAACGCATCGAGCTCACTCTGTCCAATCCAATCAAGCCAACAGCTCGTGTTGGGCTGGTTGTGGTTGTTGATTGGTCACACTGACCATATTTGCGCCTCCCAACTGGAAAGTGGCGAAACAAGAAACTATCTCGTTATGGCCTGTTTCCGAGTAACCTTCTCCGTCGGCCACAGCACGAGCATTTCTTTCCGTAGATGTTGCACTTGCGACGACAGCACCAGATAGAACGAGGGAGCACATTCTTCGCCTATTCCAGTTCGTGGTGAGCGAAAGTGGTATTCCTGGGGGCAGCGCCTTGGGCGAAAGTGGTTTTCATGAAACCGAGGCCCGTTCGCTTCAAGAGTTTCGTTCTGGTGTGCAATGGTCCAAAGCGGTCAAGATAAAAAAACCACACTAAAACGTGATGAACCGTATAAAACCACGTGAAACAACTCTGAAGGTAAATGTCTCATCCCCCCAGAGGAGTTATCCTGGCCACCAGAACGCCTTCATACATATATTATTCGGAACTTACCATACTTCCGCGTCACAGCAGTTCTTGGTGCCTAGTTCACAGATCACGGTCGGCATTCACTGCGTTGACACAGTCAGAGGCGGACACAAAGCTCCGTTTCGGGCCCTTTCGGTTCATTTCGGTCCGTTTCGGTCTATTGCGGTTCGTTCCGCCTGCTGGTTTTCCCCCGCGAGCAAGTCAGCAAGGCTGCTCGGCCACGATCGTGTCGTCGATCACTTTCTCTCGTAGCCTCAAACACGTCGTCTGCGCGCCTTGTTTCTTCGTTACACGCACGTGATCCGACCGCACAAGCAGCCCGACAGCCATTCTCAGCTGACCACGTCGTTTGTGTCACGTTCCTTTTCACCTCCTCGCAGCAGCTAGCCTCTCGTTAGAGGCACATGCAGCGAACCAGCAGCCGACAGCACATCGACCAAATACCTGACCATTCCCTCCCGTCAGATCCGGTCCGACTGGAAGAAGGCTCCGCCTCCGCCGGTGGTGGCGGCGGCGACGTCGGCGCTCCGCTCCACTCCCCGCAGCGCCGCGCGCCGCCGATACTGCAGCAGATGCGGCTCCAGGCGTCGCTGTTCCTCCGCCGCTTGCTCCACCCGCGCGCGTTTCTCGGCACCAAATGCGCAGCCGTCGCGCTCTTTTTCCTGCTTGTAACGGGGATATGCGCCGCTATGGCGGGCGCGGCTGGGGGATGGGCGGCGCGCGCGGACTGGGTGGTGGCGGAAGAGGCGCGCGGGGGAGGCTTGCCGGGGGAGGTTCTTGTGGCGGTTGGCAGCAGTAGCGGGTGTGACACTAACGAGCGAGTCAGTGTTCCTTTACCGGGGGATGGAGATGGAAGTTCAGCAGACGAAGAGTCTGGATCTATGGTCTTCCTGTCGATCGGGGATTTCGGAAACGCGAACGACTCTCAAAAAGCTGTGGCGGCACAGGTGAGAGTGGTGAGGGAGGAGAGAGAGAAAAGGGGGAGGGAAGGGGGGGGAAAGTGGTTAAGGGAATGGGGGGAAAGTGGGGAGGGGCGGATGGCAAACGGAAGGGTTATGGAAGAGTTCGGGGGATGCGGGGGAGGATTGGTGGGTATGGGGGGAATGGGATGTTTTAATGCTGTTATTTTGTAATGTTGTAATGGTGACTGACAGAATGATGAATGGCTGATGCTGGAGTGTTATATTTCAGTAAGAGTTTAAAAGTCAGCCTCCCGTTTCTTCCATTCACCATCTGACCCCTTGTCCCGTTCCCCAACTATCGACCCTCTCCCTCCATCGCTCCCGCGCCCTACTTCTGCATCACATGCGCTCAGCACCTAGCGCACTTTAGGTCTTTTCTTCGCCTTTCTCCTCCTTTGTGCCGCTCCCCTCTCCCCCTTTGTGCCGCTCCCCTTCCCTGCCCCCCCTCCTTGTGCTGCACTCCCCTTCCTTCGGATGGGCGCAGTAGCAGAGGCAGCGGGGGCGCGCTTTGTGGTGTCAGTGGGGGACAACGTGTATGACAACGGGGTCACGGGGGAGGCAGACCCGCTCTTCCACTGCCCCTCTCCCCTTCCGCCTCCATCTGCTCTGCCCCCATGCCGCTTCTCTCTCACTGCCTGTGTCTCTCTCATGCCGCGTCTCCCATTTCCCCCTGCGCCTCTCCCTCCCCTCCACATGACAGATGGGGGCAGTAGCAGAGGCAGCGGGGGCGCGCTTTGTGGTGTCAGTGGGGGACAACGTGTATGACAACGGGGTCACAGGGGAGGCAGACCCGCTCTTCCACCGCGTGTTTGAAGGCGTCTACACACACCCTGCGCTGCAAGTGCGATGGTCAGTTCTTTGAGGCGTCTCAAAAGGGCAATCCCGCTCTTCCACTCCACCGTGTGTTTGATTTGAAGGCGTCTACACACACCCTGCGCTGCACGTGCGATGGTCAGTTTTTAGGGTGTCTGCAGCACTGCACTGCATGTGCGATGGCTAGGCTTTCCCCCGTCAAGTTGGTGTGTAAGAATTCGCAAATACCAGCTTTTGGCCCCGTTTACTCTCTCCTTGTACTCACCTCCATTTTTCCCATTCGCTTCCCCACGATCCATCTCCTCACCCCTTCCTCCCTCGCCCCCTCCCCTCCCTCCACTCCTTGTCACACACACAGGTACATGTCCCTGGGCGATCACGACAACAAGGGCAGCGTGGCTGTCTGTTAGTCGACTCCAACCTCTCCCCATTTCACCTCCCCCCACACCTTCCAAATTGTCCCTCGTTCGCCCTTCTCCCCGTCGCACAGGTACATGTCGCTGGGCGATCACGACAACAAGGGCAGCGTGGCAGCGCAGGTGGCTCACTCGCACGACTCCACCAAGTGGTACCTCCCTGCGCCCTACTACTCCCTCTCCCTGCCGCTGCCCCGCGCTCGCCCTGCTGCCTCCTCCGGCACAGGCGATGTAGGAGAAGGAGGAGGGAGGGGAGAGGGGGAAGCGGGGGCGGATGGGGTAGGCGCAGGAGAGGCAGGGGGAGCAGGAGTGGGAGGGGGAGGGGGAGGAGGTGAGGGCAGCAGTGGTGATGGTGGTGATGGTAGCAGTGGGGGAGGCGCAGAGGAGCATATAGACTTCTTCTTTACCAACTCCATTGGCCTCGAGGTGAGTTACTGAAGCGCCTCAGAAGAAAAGGTAGCAGTAGCAGTGGGGCAGGCGCAGAGCAGCATATAGACTTTTTCTTTACCAACTCCGTTGGCCTTGAGGTGCCTCTTTCCCTCCTTCGCTCCACCACTCGACTGTCTCTTGTTCCTTCCGCCTCCCTTTTGAGGAGCAGAGCAGCATATAGACTTCTTCTCTACCAACTCCATGGGCCTTGCGGTGCCTCTCTCTCCTCATGCCTTCCTTCCTCTCGTTCACTCCTTGTCTCCTTCCCTCCCTCCCCTCTCTTTCTCCCTCCACTCCCTCCTCCCTCCCTCCCTCCCTCCCTCCCTCCCTCCCTCCCTCCCTCCCTCCCTCCCTCCTCCCTCCCTCCCTCCCTCCCTCCCTCCCTCCCTCCCTCCCTCCCCCCCCTCCCTCGCTCGCTCGCTCGCACGGTCACTTTCTTGACTGTCTCTCTTTCGTTGTGCCTCTATTCTCTGAGGCACAGAGCAGCACATTGACTTCTTGTCATCCTAATACCATAGGCCTCGAAGCGCCTCTCCTCATTCCTCTCTTCGTACTACATTTCCCTTCTCCCTTCTCCTTTCCTGATTCTCTTCCCCAATCCCCATCGCCTTCTCAATATTGTGCTGTTGTGTCTGTGCGTGTGCGTTCATGTGTCTGCATGTGCGCGAGCGTGCGTACGCGTGCGTGCGCGTGTGTGCGCGTGCCCGTGCGTGCGCGTGCGTGTGTGTGTGTGTGTGTGCATGTGAGTGTGGCAGGGAGTGCTGGGAGCTTCCAATGACAATGACCGGCGATTCTTCTCCAACTACTCCCTTGACCTCGTCGGCCCGCAGGTGCATATCTGACTCACTTTCGACACTTCTCAAAAGCAATATCTTTCTTGATCTTAGGAGCCTACAGGTGCATATCGGAGTCACTTTTGACAGTTGTCAGAAACGGCAATTTCTTAAAAGTACCCACTTCCTTGGCCTCATGTGCCCACAGGTGCCGGCCACCATCCATACCGGTTTCACACACACGCGCGCGCGCGCGCGCGCGCACACACACACACACACACACACACATGTTTCTTCCCCTCGGTTGTGCTCATCCAACCCCACTCCATCCCCCCTCTCCCCGTGCACCTTATCTGCATGTGCGTATGCATGCATGTATGGCATGTGTGCAGGCAGGCAGGCAGCAGCTGCAGTGGCTGGAAGCGCAGCTTCAGAAAAGCACAGCCCGCTGGTGAGAGGGGCAGGAGGGCAGGAGGGTTCGTGAAGGGATGGATGGAAGGTGGAGGGGTGGGTGAGGGATGGACGATGGAGAGGTGTGGAATGAATGGGGAATGGGATTGATAAGGGGGCGAGTCTTGAGACTGGCAAACCATGCAGCTGTGCTGCTGAGGCCATTATCTGGGCATTATTCTGGGGATCGAGAACAACGAGAGAAGCCTTGGCACGGCAACACAGCGGTTCAGACTGGAAAACTGTACTTCCTTTTTTTAGAGAAGCTTGAAGATACGAGAAGAACAATCAAGAGGCATTCGACTTAAGACCTCACTGGAAAGCAATTGCCATGAAGACATTGCCATTCCTTAGCACACAACCTTCACATATCCCTACTCGCTTACGTATGCTACCTTCTCTCATCCTCTCCCCCCTCCCCTTCGCATGCTTCTTGCTTGTCCCCTCTTGTGCCCTTACCTTTTCACGCCCTGCCCCCTGCTTCTGCTCCTGCCCCCTGCCCCAACCCTGTGCCCATGCTTACCTATGGCCCTGGAAAGTGGTGGTAGGCCATCGCCCCATCATCACAAGAGCGAGAAACTTGAGACTTGGAAAAATATTCACCCCCTTCACACTCTCCCATCTCCCCTTCTCCCCATTTCACACTCCACCTGCACCCCTGTACTCATCACCCAGGAAAGTGGTGGTGGGTCATCGCCCCATCATCACAGCAGGCGTGCGCCCTCGCTTTCCCGCCGAGCCCCGCTTCTCCTCGCTGCTGCTGCCGCTGCTGCAAAAGTACCAAGTGGTGGGCTTCTATCTATGTACTGCACTGTGTGCAATTTCTCGCGGGTGCTGCGGTTGATAGTAGTGCTGCTGTTGATAGCAGGTGCTGCCATCTGCTATTAGCACTCAGGGTAAACAAATGCTTCCTCTTTTCTCACTCCTTCCTTACTCTCTCCCCATATCGCCTCTCACTTGGTTTCCTTGCTTTCCTCCTCACTCTTTCACAACACTCTCCTCCTCCTCCTCCTCCTCCTCCTCCTCCTCCTCCTCCTCCTCCTCCTCCTCCTCCTCCTCCTCCTCCTCCTCCTCCTCCTCCTCCTCCTCCTCCTCCTCCTCCTCTCCCTCCTCCTCCTCCTCCTCCTCCTCCTCCTCCTCCTCCTCCTCCTCCTCCTCCTCCTCCTCCTCCTCCTCCTCCTCCTCCTCCTCCTCCTCCTCCTCCTCCTCCTCCTCCTCCTCCTCCTCCTCCTCCTCCTCCTCCTCCTCCTCCTCCTCCTCCTCCCCCTCTCTTATTCCCCCTCTTCCCCCCCCTCCCCCCTCCCGCCCCCATGCCCATCCTACAGGACGTCTATCTCTTTGGTCATGACCACGTGGCGCAGCATTTAGAGCGGTGCGGAGTGGTGCACGTGGGTAACGGCGTGGGGGGCTACAAGAGGCACTGGGTGCATTCCACGGGCGACACTGTGTGGGCTGACTCCTCCTTCTTTGGCTTCCTCAAACACGCTGCCACTCGCGACTGGCTGGTATGCTTTGTGGTGTGGGTGAGATGGTGGGTGGTATGGCGAGTGGTATGGCGGGTGGTATGGCGGGTGAGATGGTGGGTGGTATGGCGAGTGGTATGGTGGGTGGTAAGGTGGGTGGTAAGGTGGGTGGTATGGTGGGTGGTATGGTGGGTGGTATGGCGGATGGTATGGTGGGTGATGTGGTGGGTGGTATGGTGGGTGGTATGGTGGTTGGTATGGTGGGCGGTATGGTGTGTGGTATGGTGTGTGGTATGGTGGGCGGTATGGTGTGTGGTATGGTGTGTGGTATGGTGGGCGGTATGGTGTGTGGTATGGTGTGTGGTATGGTGGGGGGGAAGCTGAATGGTGTGTTTCATGGTTTGCTGGATGGTATGCTGGTTGGTGTGCTTGGTGCACGCATGGGGATACACACAACATCTAGTGTCTCCTTATCCTGCATGCTGCGTTTTTCTAGCAAAATCTAGCACACTTACCGGTATCGTAACTCTTGTTCTAATCCTTGTATCTCAATTTCGACGCAGTACACCTTCCTCCTAATCTGAATCCCACTTGTTTGCTCTATTCTCCCATCTTTCTCCACATTATGCCCCTCTACTCTATCCCTTTCTCCCACCCACCCTGCACCCCACAGGACTTTACCTTCATTGCTGCCAATGGCAGCATCATGCATTCCTTCCGCCTACCACACCGCTCACTCAGACCTCGACCCTCTGCACCGCTCTCCACGCCTCTGTCTTCAGGCTCCCCATCCCTCCCTCGCTCTCTCTCGCGACGTATGCAATTGGAGGGGGAGGAGGTGCATGTTGAGAATGGTAGGGTGGGCTTGTAGAGGGTTCCAGAAGAATCGATACCCCTAGAAAGTGTGATTATAATTGGCACACATCCAATGTGCTTGATTATATCGATGGATGCACAAGGGGGAAAGAACCTGTTGTTAACAACGGCTATGTCAAACAGTTATCCATTGAGTCGCACACAATGTCAGAATGAGAACTACAGCGGAATGTGTTGCATTGACAGAATTGGGGTACATAACCTAACCCTAACTAGTTGTACCCCATATAGCCCAACCCACTACAGGCTATAATATTTGACACACCCCCATAGCCTAAGTGGGGAAGGCCAATCAACAAAAAACAACCTACGGTCACAAGACTAGTCAAAAGCAAGAGAAAGAAAACAAAGCTCAGGGTGGATCACAACGTCACCACCTAATCTGAGCACAAGCAAAGGGCCACAAGGCCAGTCCAAAAGTGTGCAAACAAATATATATAAGGTACAAGCAAGCAACAGACAAAGAGCACCCTACAGCAGTCAACTAGACCCAGTCTCAACGAGGCCTAACTGCAGACAAAACCGGCGGTGGTCACAAGGCTGGAGGGCCTTGGTGAAGATGTCTGCAGTGTTGGCCTCGGAGGCCACAAAGTCCAGACGAGCCTGTCCGCGTCTCTGCAACTCTCGAAGGAGGAAGTACCTGACGTCAATGTGCTTCACTCTGCTCTCCAGTCGCGGCTCACGACACAGGAGAATCATCGCCTTGTTGTCAGCAAACAAGGTCGGTGCAGAGCTCGGCCGCTCGCCAAGGTCAGTGAGCAAGTTGGTCAACCAGCGCAGCTCCTGTGCAGCAAGGGCTCCAGCGTAGATCTCGGCCTCTGCGGTAGAAGTCGCAACAGAGGAGGACCGAGTAGACCTCCACGAAACAGCTCCAGAACCCAGACTGAAACAGTAACCCTGTGTAGACCTCTGAGTCTCAGCGTCGTCAGCGTACGAGGAGTCACAGTGACCGGTGAGAACAACTGGCTGAGTCCCTCCAAGTACAAGCCCCATGTCTGACGTCGTGGCCAGGTACTTCGCCACCCTCTTAGCCGCCGTCCAGTGAACAGGACGGTGTCTCCCAGTCGCAACAAAGCGAGAAAGGATGCTAAGAGGGAAGGCGAGGTCCGGGCGAGTGCACGTCATCAGGTACATGAGGCAGCCCACCAGCTCTGCGTAGGGACCACTGGGCTCGAACGGCTCGTCAGGAAAAGGCCCAGTGAGTCTGTGGTCTACAGCAAGAGGAGTGGGTGTGGGAGAGGAGTGCTGAAGCCCGAACCGCTGAAGGACCTGCTGCACCATGTGTGACTGAGTCAGAGTGATGGTGCGAGCGGCTCTGTCCCTGGAGATCTGCAAGCCAAGGTAGCGGCGCAGTTCCCCAAGGTCAGTGCAGGTGTGTCTCTTTTGCAGTTCGGACTTCACCTCCGCCAGTGCAACAGTGTCGGCTGTGGCGAAGACCAAGTCGTCAACGTAGACCAGAACAAAGAAAGGTGTGCGCCCACGACGAACAAACAGCGACGGGTCGGCGGAGGACGGCTGAAAACCAAGGTCGGAAAGAGTAGAACGAAGAGTGTCGTGCCACTCGCGGGGTGCCTGGCGGAGACCGTAGACCGGTCGTCTGAGGCTCCACTGGGTCCCAGGCGGGAAGGTGCCAGTGAAGCCCGGAGGACGACGCAGCCAGATCTCCTCGTGTAGGCGGCCCTGCAGGAACGCTGTGGAGAAGTCGAGGGAGTGTAGCTCGTAGTCTCTCTGCGCCGCTACGTGAAGCAACACCCGAAGAGTGGTCATCTTCAGGGTGGGCGTAAAGGTCTGAAAGCAGTCAACCCCCTCGCGCTGACTAAACCCTCTAGCCACGTAACGTGCCTTGAAGACTGGGGGAGATCCCGGCGGCCGCTTCACCTTGAAGATCCACATGCCGTCGACTATGTTCGCCCCTGGTGGGGGAACGTCGTCAACGTAAGTGCCTGTGGACCTGTAGGAGGCCATCTCTGCGTCCATGGCAGCTCGCCACTGAGAGGCCCAAGGCCCTAACACTGCCTCAGCGTAAGTGCGAGGAGTAGGTATGTCAGGAGCGTCGGGGTCACCCTCAGGAGCAAGGAGCATGGCACAGAGATGAGGCGAAGCGGCTGCTAGGAACTCTAGCTCAAACTGTCTGTCCTCTAGGACGTCACAGCCAAGGGCAGACACACCCCCGACGGACAGAGGACGGACAGGAGGAGCTGCCACAACACGAGTGGCGTAGTCAAGGCGACGCGTGGCAGTAAAGTCAGTGACAGCGGCAGTGAGGACTGCGACAGAGGAAGGAGAGGCACGAGGGTCTGTAACAAGAGAGGCGAGAACGCGAGAGAGAGTGGGACGGTAAGTGCGGTAGTAGTCAGTGACAGGAGTGGACAGGGCGGCAGTGAGGGACGACTCAGGAGGACGAGGGAGAACAGACGGAGGAGAACGAGGAGGGCTAGGGTGAAACAAGGCGGCACGGAGGTCAGTGACGGGGGACGAGGGACGAGCACGAGGAGAACGAGGAGCCCAAGTGTGGGCAAGTGGAGAGGGAGAGGGGGGAGAGCGAGAACGAGGGAACACAGCCGGAGCTGAGTCCGGAGGAGGAAACGTAGGACCGAACACAGGAGGAGAGGAGGGGAGACCAAGGGCCCGAAGGCCAGAAACAGGGGCCGGAGACTGCTCCGGCTGCTGCTGCTGCGACGGCGGCGGCTGCTGCTGCTGCTGCTGCTGCTCCCGCTGCAACTCCAACCTCTCACGCTCCACCCGCTGCTGAACCTCCAACCTCTCGCGCTCCAAACGCTGCTGCTCCTCACGCGCAAGTCGAAGACTGGCCTGGTGTCGAGTCGGGAAGGAGTGAGGAGGAGGAGTGAGGTCAGGAGAGGAAGACGAAGAACCGGCTCCACCCTCGACAGCGCCCGGCTGAGCACCCCCAGAGCGAGTGCCCCCCGCTGCAGCACGACCAGCACCTGTGGAAGGCAAACCCGCACCCCCAGTCGTGGTGCGCCCAGTGGCACCAGCACCAGCCCCAGACTCTCCAGCTCCAGAAACACGACCAGCTCCAGCACCACCACCGACTCCAACACGCTCGGGACGTGCAGCTGCAACAGGTGCACGCTCAGCTCCAACTCCAACACCCCCAGAACCGGCACCGCCAGAGCCCTCACCTCGAGCACCAACACCCTCAGAGTCCGCAGTGGCCGGGAGAGGAAGCGCCGACGGCTGCTGCGGAGGCTGTGAGGACGACTGTGGGGAAGGAGGAGAGACCTGGGGGGGTACCGAGGGAGGGGGGGTAGCCTGTGACACACCTGACGGAGCGGGAACCGGGGGGGGTACCGGAGGAGAGGGAGCGGGAGGAGGAGGAGCTGGGGCGAGGAAGAGGGGAGGGGGGGGGAACCGGGAGACCTCGACAGGGGTACCGGACGTAGTAGGGGACGGACTCGTCGAAACTGACGTCACGAGAGTCAAAGAACCGGTGGGAGGGTGGGTGGTAAAAGGTGAAGTCAGAGGAGGCCTCAGGGAAACCAAGGAAGACACAGGGGACGCCGCGAGGTGAGAGCTTGTCCGCAGAGGTGTCGCGGACAAGCGCCAAGCAGCCCCAGACACGAAACCTCGACGCAACACCAGGGGACCCTGTCCAAAGACTGGTCGGTGAAGCCCCTGGCCGAGAGACGCGAGGCCAGAGGTTCAGCTGGTGAGCGGCGTACCGAGCCGCGTAGGGCCACAGAAAATGGGGCACGCGGGCGTGGATCATGGAGGTGCGGGCAATCTCCATGACCAGGCCTAGCCGGCGCTCAGCAACCCCATTCTGCTGTGGAGAGTCTGGAAGAGTCCAGGACTGGGTGATGCCCTGCTCAGCACAGAATCTGGCGAGAATGCCGGAGCGAAACTCACCCCCACGGTCGGAGTGGAGACAACTGACACGACGACGACGAGTACTCTCGGTGGCGAGCAGCCACCGGATCAGCGTAGAAGTCACGTCGGACTTCTTCGCCAAAGGGAACACGGTGGTGTACCGAGAGTAGTCGTCAACGACCACTAGAAAGAAGCTCTCTCGCTCAGGTCCAAGCCGGGAAGCGGGGCCCCAGACGTCTAAGTGGAGTGTCTCAAAGGGCTCGGAGGCTGGACGAAGGGAGGAGGAGTGAGGAGTGGCGCGCAGCCGACCCTGGACACAAGGACCACACGGAGGAGCGGGGGACGGCGGGAGCGGCGGGAGGTCGCGGGGGAGGCCTAAGACAAGACGCTGACTGGACATAGCGCGGAGACGAGAGAGGGACGGGTGACCAAGGCGGTGGTGCCAGAGGAGGACAGGGTGGGACAGCGACCGACACGAGCACGACGCAGCCACTAGACCTGGCACAGCTACCTGACTGGACCTGGCTACCTGGTGGGACGGGGGAACCGGACGGGTGTCGGTGTGGAGGGTGTACAGACCAGAGCCCGGCTCCTGACGAAAAGTGGCCAGAGGGGCGTACGTGTCACCGTCCACACAGACTGCAGTGTCACCAGAAGGCTCAAACCAGACCCCGACGTGCTGTCTCGCCAGAGGAGCCACACCAACCAGGTTCCTAGAGAAAGTAGGAACGTGGAGGCCGGTCAGAGAACCGGAAGGGGCAGCTGGGCACGGGAGGGTAGTGGCGTGAGTCGCAATGACCGGTCCCGAAGAGGGATCGGCCAGTGCTACAGAAACCGGCGCCGAGAGTGGAGTAAGAGTCGTGCTGTCGCGGAAGAAGCACTGCGTCGCTCCGGAGTCCAGTGTGAAGGAGAGCGACGCGTCCGCCGAGGGAGCACCTGTACTAGTAGCTAGACAGGATCCTACACCAGCACCTACTCTAGCAACAGGCAAAGATCCTACGCTAGGTACAGGCAAGTAAACAGATCCAGCAGCACTATAGTCAACATCAGCATACATCGCATAAGACCTAGCATCATCCATAGACATATCAAACACAGCAACACCACGAGCAAGGAGTGGTCCCCAGCGCGGTGGCGGGGGAGCGGAGGGGCCGTGGTGCAGGA